TGATACAGGTGTTTTGGGTTGCATCTCAACAGATGTTACACTTTGTACAGACATTACTTTACATATTCACATTCAAACAGCGCATCTTACCCTTAGATAGTTTGTGGTAATACCAATTTAAATTGCACATCTGGGAACAACATATTTTGGTTGATATGGCTTATCCCAATTGATCTTCTCCCCAGAATGAATACTGTAATGTATACCTTAATTCAGTTCTTTTAATGCAGAATAGCAAGTAAAGAAATGCTAACAGGCCACAAAGATCAGATAAGGGCCACAGAGGAATGTGGAAGAGAAGGGGGGGTTTGTTAAACAAAGAAAGAAGAATCTCTGAAAGTTAGGACACACTGTGATACCTGGTTAGACTATTCAATTTCCAAGATTCTTCTGGTATAACCATGAGGACATATATGCAATGGTAGCTATACATATTTGTTTATTCAAATTTATATAAGTGTTTACGTGTGTGGGGTAAAATAGGTGATACTCCCTGAACATGGTTATAAGGGTGGCGCAGAAAACACTAAGATTGTAAGGGAGGACACATACAAACATAACCTATCTGTATATTTAGACTAGTAGTCATGGGTAAATCAATATACAGGGTATACAAAAGCCAAACTTAAAAGAAACTTCCTTTAGGGTGTTTGTCTGTTGTGTGAGTGGTATGTAAGGCAGGATGTCTGGGGAGGGGGTTGTGTGCCAAGATGAGGGATCCCTGTCCTTGAGGTCCACTCTGCTGTCCGTAGGTCCCTAAATCTTTGGGGAATAAAAGTTGGAGTGCTGACCTCCCTTGTTATCTGTGTGTGTGTTTAAGTGTGTTTGTGTGTGTGAGGTCACACCCTTTTATGCCTAGGCCAGCGAGTACCTCTCGTACCAGGGTAGGCCTTGTTTGGAATTTAAGCTCCGTCATATGTGCATGTGTGATCCTACATGGATGTGGTGAGAGAGGACATGCAAGTGGTTGGTGTGAAAGGGGAAGATACAGAGGACAGGAAGAAATGGAAACATGATCCACAGTGGCAATCCCTAACGGGAAGAAGCAGAAGAAGAAATAATAAAGTCCAATAAAAACTTCCATAGAAATGCGGTTTCCAATTCAAATCAATGTGCAGAATTACTCAACATGCCATTTCACCAGCTGTTTTTCAGGTATGAAACCAATCTGGGCCAGGCTAATTACAATCTTTCCTTACAGTGACATAGCTGCTGTGTATACTATGTATTTTATATTTGCTTGGCCCAAAATGAATTTTGCACATGAAGACCTCCAAATTCCATTTGGAAATGTGGTTTCTTATTCAAATAAATTGCCAACATGCCATGTTGCAAGACTACTGATATTAAAGAGATAATTACAGTATGCCTGGATAATTCCACCATTTACATTACAGGGAGATGCGTGAAATACATATATGACATGAAGCTGCAAATAAGAACACAAACGAATCGGGAACTGCGAATAAGTAGGTAACTTATATGGAAGAGGAATTAAGAAATAAATAAATAATACATTTTTGGAATAAAAAATTAAATTAACAAATTTTTCTATAGATTTATTTATTTCTAATTATGTTACGTTTCGTCCTCCATAACTTCAGCCTCGTTATCGCTCGGCTCTTCCGTCTTGGCACCAGGTGTAAAATGAAAGTTTAGGTAGTCAGTGTTCGGAAGGACGACATTTTGTATAAAAACTGAGCTGCGATAAAGAAAGCTCTAAGGTGAAATTTGCCTATTTGTCATATAAAACAGTTCTTAATTAAGTAAGAAAAAAGTAATCAGCACCTAAAGGATGAAAATGAAGAACAGAAGTCTCACTATTATATTAATCTTGTTCAAATTCATCATTAACTCTGATGGTATCGTTTAAAAACAAGACTTATAGGTTCGTATATTAATGTTTCATAAACAAAATTACGATGAACTTAAGGAATATTTGAGGGTGTGTGTGTGTATATCCATTGTGGTAATTTTAATAAATACAGCCAGGGCCGTAGCCAGGATTTTTAAAATAAAAGGTTAGAAGTGTTAGCTCTTCCTATACGCAGTGGCGGAGCCAGGAAATTTTCTGTGGGGTGGCCAGGATGATTATGTGATCATTTTGGGGGTGGCATAAATTAGAACTATATTTAGGTCACCTACTGTAAACCACACACCTCCTTAAGAAAGAACATACAGGAAACAGTTGTCTTATTATAACCATTAGTTGTTTTATTTTAGTTATAAAAAAGTCTCCAAGTCAGGTGAGAGTCAAATCAAGTCAGTTACAATTACAAACTACTTTACAAAATGCATAAAAAACGTATTTACAATATGTAAACATATTTACATATAAAGCGTACTTACGAAAGTGAAATACTTGAGTGCAACTTTTTTATTAAAACTCTTCAGAATAAACAATTTGATAAAATTGACAGCCCAAGTTAACAAACTATAACATTCTTTTAACAAACTAACACATTTTGTTTGATTTAACTTATTTGCAGGAGTTATCTATCACCAATAGATA